GTCCTGCCCGGCGGACACCTGAAAGGGCCCCTCAATGAGAAATAACGAACAAACTAAAAATAAGCATCCCTAGAGCTAAAGCACGTGGGTAATTGTTGAGCTGGAATTGCTGCCCCGCGGTTATGCTGCTCGGCGGAGTGCGCTCCAATCTCTTCCCACCAAAGCGCGATGCTCCATGTGGGTACCACCTCCCCTCCCAGTACAGAGCGGGCCATGCCCAGTCCGCAGAGGAGCAGCAAGCGCACGGGCAGGCACAAGGTGGCATATGTGTCACCACTTAAAATAGTCAGGCGTGTCTGAAGGACCGCATCGGCCCCAAGGGCCTCCTGTTAAACTGTAACGGGAGTCCTGCATACTTACACGGATGCCAATAGAGAAAACGGTGATCTTTGAACAAGGCTCTAGTTAAAAAGTAAATCTGATCTTTTGAATTTTTGAGATTTTAATGACAAAAGTCTAAGCCAGATGGCTCTGACTGAGCAGGCGGTAGGTGAGGTATTCCCCCCAGTGTTTACTTCTAAAATTAGCTTCACACACTGACTTGAAAATGTTAATCCTGGCTCATCTCTACCCTTGGCTTGGGGGGAGAGATTTGCAGAGGATCCTCTCTCGTCACCCGATTCAGGGGCCAGGATTTCACCCTGACAGAAAAGGCTGAAGGGCTTCTCCTGCCTCTCCCCAGGGATGGCATCACGTCCTTGGAGACCTCTGCCAAAGCAATGGGCTCTGCTCTGTCCTCCAGGTTACCTCCCAGCATCTCTGAGGAGGCAGAGGCCATGTCACCACTGCTGATTCCCCTCTAACTTACTGGGACATGCATATTCAGGGAACATCACTCTTTAAAGACTTCTTAAGTGTAATCGAGAAATGCAAACACCGGACAAAGGCAGGTGATCTTCACGTTTCTGGGCCTTTCTGTCTACCTGGCTGCCTACAACCATATTGCAGGAATGACAGCTGGAAACAGTCTTGCTCTTCCCTAACCAGCAGTACGGTATGAACCCAAAAGCCTAGGATCCTGAAGAAAGTTTGGGGAGAGCTGAACACTCGTATCTATGTGATTTTCTCCTCTGGCACCTTGAGAGGCAACACCAACCGACAAAGAAAATAAAAATGCACTGAAACATCTCTGTGCGCTTCCTACCCTCTGCTGAACTCCTACCAGTCCTGCGAAGCCTGCCCTGGGAAGATGCCCACAGCTCGTGGCCGTGCAGAGCTCCGTGGGGGGGGTATTCGCTGAGCCACCGGCTTGGGTGCCCTCGTGGGTGTGTGGTTGTGCAGGTCCCACGGGACGACCAAGAGCCAGGAAGGGGAGTCAGGAGGATTTGAGCTGCCCGTGACCAGAGTTGCAGAGTGTGTGGCCTCCAACAAGTAAAACAGATATTACAAATATAGGCAAAATTACCATTTTGCATATAGTATTGATGGAATTCTCCTGTAATTCAGTTCGTACGATTGACGTGGAGCTTGATGAATTGAGTGAGTTACATTATTTCACGCTAACTTTGTCCTCGCAACAACCAAAAGACTGCTCTTTTGGCTGCTTATGACCAAGAATTCTGTTACATATGAAATCATTATTTGTGTCTAATTATAGGCTTCACCGTTTCATGGCCTTTGTGCCCTTTTGGCTGAAAAGGGTACCTAAGCACAGCAGTCGCGGACCGAAAGTCATTGTATGTACGTAGCGTGATGTAATCCTTCAAAATTAGTTTGATCTCAGGTCCCAAAATAAAAAATGATCATTGAACGCGTTACGTATTCCCTCACTTTTAAAAATAAAAATACAGGAGAAAAACTGCGGAGTTCCACGTGTGGGCTTGGGCCGGATGATCTTGAGGGATCAAGAACATCTTGAGAGATGGAGAACATCCACGTCTGTTCTGTTCCAACAGCGACGATTCCCATCCATGTCTGTTCTGTTCCAACCGAAACGATTCCGCGATTCCCATCCACGTCTGTTCTGTTCCAACCGAAAAGATTCCGCGATTCCCATCCACGTCTGTTCTGTTCCAACCGCGACGATTCCCATCCACGTCTGTTCTGTTCCAACCAAAAAGATTCTGCGATTCCCATCCACGTCTGTTCTGTTCCAACCGAAACGATTCCATGATTCCCATCCACGTCTGTTCTGTTCCAACTGAAACGATTCCGTGATTCCCATCCACGTCTGTTCTGTTCCAACTGAAACGATTCCGTGATTCCCATCCACGTCTGTTCTGTTCCAACCGAAACAATTCCGCGATTCCCATCCACGTCTGTTCTGTTCCAACCGCGACGATTCCACGACTCTCTCTGCCACTCTAAGAAGAGCGAACGGGTTTTATTGGGCCGCCGGGCAGCAAAACGAGCGGCTCGCGAAGGACGCGTCTCGAAG